CCATGGTCAAGTGTAATCATCTTGTGCTTCTTGCTGAAACTAGAACGAAACATTTCATCTTCTTTTTGCAATCATCTCGTGCTTCTGGAACTAATATACAATTTCAGTACATTCTCGTAGAGCTTGTCTAAAATCATTTGTTCCTTCAACATTTCATGTTTGAGCTCAGGGCATTGACTGTTGTCTAGAGTGAAAATTTGGTCAAATATCTGTAATGAAAATTTCCCTGGCTTCTTTGTTTTCATTATCTTTTTTATTGGTGTTACATTTGTTTTATTTTATAATACTAGATGTGACCAAAAATATAACTCAACACGTGCTTTTTACGCAGGGTGTTGCCGTGACACAAGAAAATTCATTGTTGGACAACACTGCCAGAATTGAAGGATGGTTAGCAAGGTTCCCGATGTTTGATTGGGTGGGTGGTAGAACATCAGAAATGTCTGCCGTCGGTCTGCTCCCAGCCGCACTTCAGGTTGGTCGCTGTTAAATATTAAATCCACGACTTCCCTATCTTTTGAGTTGTCCTTACAAGTGAAGCTTAATACAGGGAATTGACATTCGAGAAATGCTTGCTGGCGCTTCTTTGATGGATAATGCAACTAGATCAACTGTGGTAAGAATAATTCCTTGATTTTTGTTCTGTAGAGTGTAATTATTTCTTTCTTGGTTAGTTATGAGAGAAAAGGTCAATTATGTTAATGACCGATCTTGAGGAATTTCTCTTAATTTATTTCAGTTAATCTTGCCTTGCGTAGTGTTCATGCCACGTTGCTCTATCTTTTACTTTAGAAAATATACCATTAGCATTATTTCAAGGTTACCAAGTGGCACCACGTTCAAAACCCTTGGATACCGTTTGGAATATTTGAATATGCCACACGTTCCCTTAACTACTAAATGAAATAAGATTAGACTGTAATTCCCAATCCTGAACTTGGTGAGTGCAAATGAATATCATTGCATTTTCTGTATGGTTACTGTTAGGCTGGAAAATTCTCAAAGTTGTCCATAGGGGTAGTTCAGCCGAAATTTAAGGTTGTGGATGTCCCAAAGTTCTAGAACTAACTATGTCTAATTCTACTGATGAAAAGGAAAAGGAAATTACTTGTCAGGCATGTAGTCGTCTTATTCTTTGATCCTAGTTTTACTATTAGCTTTCTCTTTGAACTGTCTCTTCCTAGGGTTTTCTGGTAACCTTATTTATTACTTTAATGGAAAATCTTATTTAAGTTTCTCGACTGTTCTACTACTCTTGTTTTGCTTTTCACTTTATGTTTTACATATGACACCAATTGCTCTCTCTTCCTAAAGAATAAAACACTTATGTTGTTCAGATTAGAGATAATCCTGCAGCATTGCTTGCTTTGTGCTGGTATTGGGCTTCTGATGGGGTAGGATCTAAGGTAATTTTTAATCCTGTCACTCCTGTGCTGTAGTCTTGAAACTTGTTGCTTCTATGTCTACCATAATTAACTTTTTCCTGTTGTGCTCTCCTCAGGATATGGTTGTCCTTCCCTACAAGGACAGCTTGTTATTGTTTAGTCGTTATTTGCAGCAACTGGTCATGGAATCCCTTGGAAAAGAGTTTGACCTTGATGGAAATCGGGTATCTGCAACATTTGGGAAGATTGTTCTTGTCTTTTAGTTTATTGAATGGGACAAAATTAGAAAGATATGAAAACTGTTACCTGCCTGAGAAATTTGATTGGCGCTTGTTAATTATTATCATGACGAAGTGGATTGATATTAAGAAGTGTTTGCGTGAATTTTGGACACACTTGATGCATGTTTCATATTCCAACCTTTGCAATCATTAGATACGCATCCACTGGAATGAATAGAGAGATTTATAAGCAAATGGATTATTAATTGTTGCCATAAACCATCCTTAGAATGATTATTTCCATTGGACCGTTAGCGTTGTAAGTAATAAAAGGATCAAAACACTTCAGGTCTCATATTTGACTAGCATGGACAAAATATCTAAAATTTTCCAAGTATCCAAGTACGAAGAATGCTATTCTATTATTCTAGTAAAGTATTATGGTTTGTTGTGTTACATCGAGATGCATTGACTAATAATATGGTTTGCTAAATTCACTTTTTCCCATAGGTTAATCAGGGGCTTACAGTATATGGAAACAAAGGGAGTACAGATCAACATGCGTAAGATCTCATACCAGTCGTTGGAATCTATATACCTTGTAATGCAAACTATGCCAAGGCCTAACCGCCTAATGCACATAACTTTATGCAGCTATATTCAACAATTGAGAGAAGGCGTGCACAATTTCTTCGTGACATTTATTGAAGTGCTGCGTGATAGGCCACCTGGTCATGATTGGGAGCTTGAACCAGGTGTTACATGTGGCGACTACCTTTTTGGTATGCTACAGGTTAGGTTTATGAGGCATGCTAGTTTTACTATATCTTGCTTCCAAATCAAATGGTCAGTGTTCTATTGTTTTGACCTCTCAGAAGACCTGATTTTTTTCCTCTTGTTAAACATTTGAGACTTGTTCAGGGAACGAGATCTGCACTCTATGCTAACAATAGGGAGTCCATCACAGTCACTGTTCAAGAAGTGACTCCTAGATCTGTAGGTGCAATGGTAGCACTTTATGAAAGAGCAGTTGGAATATATGCCTGCCTTGTCAACATCAATGCATACCATCAACCTGGTAAAAATATATGTTTCCTTGTTGCTCAGAATAAAATTCAAACTTGTTTTTCCCTTCAGGTGTTTGTGTTTTATGTGCCCTCATGCTGGTCTCTTTGCTAATTAATTCATTTGCTGTCTTCACCTCAATTTGCCTTCGTATTTTTCGAATGCTATCTCAGGTGTGGAAGCTGGGAAGAAAGCTGCCGGGGAAGTATTGGCTCTTCAAAAACGTGTCTTGGCTGTACTTAATGAGGCCAGGTATGAACTCTTCTAGAGATCCAGAATTTGTCATGCAGTGCATCATCATTTTCTGAAATGGTCCCTAAGAAATCCTTTTCTGTCTCAAAATTGGTATAATAAAAATATAAGAATTGAGGATTAGTAGCATTCTTATATCACTGTAGAACCCAAAAATTTATTCTTATATCACTGTAGAACCCAAAAATTTAAGTTAAGGGGTTACAGTAAATTTATCCTTGACATTCCTCCCTCGTGGGTTTGGAAATTAGCACAAAGTATAACAAGTAATTATCAATATAAATTGAAAAAGAAATGACATAGGAGAGATTCAACACAAAAATTAAAAGCTTAAGTCAATGAGTTAAAGTATTTTTGTTCCGCCTTCAACCGGGGCAGGAATAAAGGGGTTGTTTGTCAAAGCTTCTAATGATTGACATTCTCTCTCCCTCAGCTGTAAAGAGCCTGTGGAACCATTGACACTTGATGAAGTAGCTGAACGTTGTCATGCGCCTGAGGATGTAAGTAATGTGATCCAGTACTCATTTTATAGACTTTTTGAACGACATATATTCTTTGCTGACAAATCCTTCTATATTACTTCAGATTGAAATGATTTACAAGATTATTGCTCATATGGCCGCCAATGATAGAGCACTGATTGCTGAAGGAAGTTGTGGCTCACCACGCAGCATTAAGGTTTTCCTTGGAGAGTGTAATGTTGACGATTTGTATGCTTAACAAAAAACAGCGGTAATGTTCTATATCTTGTGCTGTTTGGATCTCCTAATAAAATTGAGAATACTTTTGCTAATTCTGTTAATCAGGCTTATCAGAGTTCAGTCTCTGGAATTATGGAAAATAATCCTATGAAGAGCAGTTTTTTTCTTGTTGCCCCATAAATGCTCTATTTTATTCCCAACCAAGAGATGGGAAAATGATTTTTTGGCTGGAAATGGTCAAGACTGACAGGGGTAACATGCCTGGCACGGGAGTGCCCCTGTATGGTTGCGCCCAGGCCCCACGCCCCAAGCAGCAAATGTCTGGACATTTGCTTGAGGTTTGGGCACAACAATCGGAGGCTCGGGATGGCGGGCGGCACGGCAGCATATTGTGCTCGATGGGGTTGGCTCGGGTGCCATGTGTGCTCGGTATGAGCCTTGTTGAACGTGAGATGTTGCGGTGTTGCTCTCCATCTTGTAGGCATCCACTTCGAGGTTGATTATCGAGCTTCGAGTTTTTCCACCCCATTCGGGACAGTGGCATGCTTAGGCCTCAGCGCATTGGGTGCGGGTGGAATCGGTAATTGGTAGAGTGTTTGCAAGATGGTCGTTGGAATGTGTGATGTCAATTGATGATGCCGCCCACACCCCGACGGTTTCCAGCCGGATCGGATGGAGACCCACGCCCTTCCATTGAGAGGGGTGACTCTCGCGGGTTGTTAAATCCAACTCGAGATGAGCTTGCTTGGACAATTATTGCACATGGTTATTTCGAATTAAAAAGGAAGGAATGAAGGAAAGAAAGAAAGAGAGGACTGGGAAGGCTTGACAAGATGTATCCTCGTTCACCTATGAATGAGGACAAAATCCACTGTCGTTTGTCACAGAAATAGAAAATATTTGCATTATACGAAAAAAATATTTTGAAAAGTGATAAAAAAATATATTTCGAATTGGAGTATTTTTTTTTATTAATATAATTAGAGTGACAGGATTTATATCACTATTGACTATCACGTACATATTAATTCTATATATTTGACACATAAAACCACTAATTGACCATGATTCCATATCTTTTGGCCATACAACCTAACGTAGCAAAAATCATCATATTTTTTAAAACAAATTCCACAACTTACAAATTCCACACATGGGGGAATCCTTTCTTAAAAGAAGCAATATGAAAAATGAGAAAATTCTAAAATATTTTTTCGGGGAACATTTTTTATGACCTTCGAAAAAATACCATGCCAAACAAATCGAAATAAAAGTGAGCGTTTTTGTGGTTACAGGAAAAAAAAAACCTGAAAAACAATACAATACCATTCAACCAAATCCAATTCATAAATTGCACATTACATTTACAGTCTCAATTTGGAAAGCTGGAAAGCACAATGTCTAGCAATAAGCACTTTTCATATATACTGCAATGCTTGCTTCCATGTTGGAACAAACTCAGTACAAATAATATTTTTTGGCATAAATACAGAAGATTTTGTCCAATGAGAAGATTCTAGCAGAAGAAATATTTACAAGAGTGCATTTGCCAAGGAATTAATCAATCTGAGGCATGAAAGAATAAACCCAAAGAGCAACAAATTGTTTTTCCACTACTGCATTTGAGCAGAATATTTACAATGGGAAAAGCACAAGGTGTATTAGAGAAGCTTTGAGATTACTTGGCAGGAAGTCCAGAAGGCTTTAGATGCAGCGTTTAGAATAACAGGGTTCTGGTATATCCTGTAGCATATCAGTTGCAGGAACCATCAGCAAAATATTGTATGTTGTATTCTTTCAGTTCCAGAAGAAGAAATTCAAACATGTTAGGCTAATATTAATACGTATTTATATTGATATAAATACAAGAAATCAAACAAAGAAATAAAAATCTTTTAGCATGAGTACGACGTGAATGCATAAAACAAAAGTTTTGAGGAAAATGTTACGCGGTCCAACTGGTGCTAGTGTCAAATTGCCACATCACGGGCAATTCTTTATGCTCGTCCAGCTTATGCTAAAGGAACAGTATCATTGCAGAAAAACAATACCAGGGAAAGTTGAAGGAAACTCATCAAGCAACAGCATTTTGAATTGTCTTAGTGGCCCATACAATGAAGAATCATTTAGTGCTAAATGCAAGAACTTTTTCATATGATATAATTCAGTCACACTAGTTGATTAACGTACCCAACTGCAGTAGCTCCCCAAGATGCCACGTTATAAATGACCTTGCTCCCATCCCATGCCTTCCGGAGTTTTCCTTTTCTCTTCTTCACTGAGAACGTTTTGCAAAGGGCTGCATGACATTCCAGAGATAATCAAAATTTAGTGAAAAATTTGGTCATAACATTGATTGGGAGCAAATGAAATCTAAAACCATCACGTCAACAAGAAATAGTGGTGAGACTCACCATTCTGCAGCTGGTTGGGTGACAATTCCTGTTAGACAATGAGAACGCATAAAAGGTTGATCATAGGCTCATAGCTCATACATAACTAGCATGTTTTGGTTTTCTTCTAAGACAAGATAAATATGAAAGATAATTTCCAGTAGCCATATTCTCTTTGTTATAGACAAGGAACATGATGGGAGTATTATAATTTTTATAAAGAACCAGAATTAGTGGAAGCATCGGTATGACAAACACGATTTTCTTGGGATGTCATGTAAAAGCAATATCCTCATTATTCATTTCACCTGGCAGAGTCAAACCCACGAATGCCAACAATATTTCAAATCAAGAAAAGAAACGATTTTGTCAAAAAATGGAAGTTACATAAAAGGAGGAAAACCCCTCAATCCACAAGCGTTGCCACAAGCAACTTACATGATTACATCCACAGTTTAGACAAAGAACTTAAAGAATATCCAAACCAAAATTGGATCCACGATTTGCACCCCCCACCCAACCAAAAAAAAAAAAACAAAGGCCAAACTTCAAGTTTCCTGTTTCCAAAGAAATTTGGCGGTGGTGTGTGGAGTTATTACAAATTCCCAAACGCATCAGATATTAAAAATCTATCCAATCTGGAAGAAACCACTCTTTCTTTTGGATTAGACCGAGAAAAGGGGTCAATATATATTTAGCTCCAACATATGCATACTGAAACACAAAACTCATAGATGCTTAAAATACATGCTGAAACATAAAACTCATAGGTGCTTAAAATTCCACAAACCGCATGCCCAAATTTCACTAAACCATAAAGCTATCATCAATCTTTTCTTTCAATAGCTGTAGAAGTCCGGAACAACTTCCATACATCTCAGCTAATCACATGGGACTATTATCCAGCTCTGTAACATTTGAATTTGAAACTTTTGGAATATTAAAATCCTGAATAGGTGATCACAAAAACCCATGAACTCATAAACCATTACTTACTTTTTTTTTCAGTCACTATCCATGATGGTCGAACTCTGCCTATTCTGCACAGCTTGAGACCAATCCTTTATCCAAACTTAATACTTCTTCCCTTATCCATATTAAGAGCTAGACAATTCATTTATATAATGAACGAAGACACCTTATTTTCTTTTTCAGAGGCAAGAACAGATTCATTGATGAACTAAAAGGTGTACAAAAGGAGGCCAGGGAGATCAGGCATCTCCGGGTCTAAATCATCCAGCAAGGGGTATTAAAAAACATCCCCAGTGAAGATTAATAGAAAAAATAGGTGAAGCAACAAAACTCTCCATTTAAGGCACAGCATGAGGAAGGAGATAAAATAATTACAAGGTTTTCTGTGTTTTGGGGATATTGTAAACCAAGGCACTTTAAACCACTAACCATCCGAATTTCCCTACCTTCAACCATAACCTCTTATATATTTATCCATGCGCATGAATACATGTGTGTGCACGTGAGAGAGAGAGAGAGAGAGAGAGAGCTGTTGTGATCATACCTTGGTTTCCTTTAAGGACAACAAATATGCTGCCATGAAGCAAGCAATACCATCTACTATATCCTCTTGCTTTACAACGACATAACCATCTTGATCTAGAGCATCACCACTTTCCCATAGATCCACATCGCTTACCACATCCCAAGAACTACATTCCTCTATCATTACAAAGAAAATAAGTAATTAAAATAAAATGAAATGAAATAATAATAAAAATGATTCAGCGATCATATCATAAACCAAACAGTATTGTTATCTCAAAGGATAAGGTCCTTTAAAACCTAAACACCAAACTTCAAAATCATAAACTACAATCTGTTTATCTGAACACATACCAGATGTATTTTGCGGAACTGACGCTTGAGCATCCTCTAGCTTCTCTAGAAAGTCACGGCATTCAACTTTAGATTTAAGAAGATCACACAACTGCAGACAGGTGTCTTCAAGTCAATGTCATGGATCATAATATTTAAAGCACATATTGATTCCAATTTCCAACATAACATTTAAGCAGCATGAAGGCCATATAAAATAATTTCGTACACCTAGTTCCATAGAGAGAGAGAGATAAAAGTCTATACAGAGAAATCACAGAGTAACTAACTATTCTGCATGGAGGAGATTTGCAGACCTACTGCATTTAATGCTTCATTTGTCTATTACTTCTAAATTTTAGTGTACCCCCTTATTATTATTGACAATTGGAGGGCTTTACATAGAGTGCTGTATAGATGGCATTAAGGGGAGGGGAAGTGTAAATTTCCATCTATTTCAGTGACAGTTCTATTTTCATGAGTGAATAAATGGAGGATCCTAGTTTCCATGAAAAACACCAAACGAGGTCCTCATAATTCATATTTTCTTCAAATGAATGATATTACTTGAATTGGCATATGATCCCGATATCCAGGAAAACACCTAAAGAAGTCGCTGTATTTCGCATTTTCTCTAGATAAGTAATATTTAGTTGAGTTGCTGCCAACTACACTTCCAACCAAATGAAAACAAATGTCTCGTCAACCTGACCACTTCCATGAGTAGCCATCCCTGGTGCCATAACATAATGATTCATGAACGACTTCAATGGAACAAAACACATATAGATCCAGGAAAAAAATATGATTACAAAGGGATTGTAATTAAGAATTGCACCTTGGCAACTTCAAACCAAGTGTTATACATAACTCTGACTAAATACCCACTAATCAATCTTACACAAATACTCACCACTGTATAAAAGTAGAGCATCCTGAAGCCAAACCAGGAAAAACTACCACTTGTGCTGTCGAGTCATCCATATAAAGTGACTTCAAATCAACAACAGATGAGGAACTACCATAAGCTAATAGATCAAAGTCAGAAGTTGTTTCTCTTATCCGATATTCAGCTTAACACAGCAATGCAAAGCAAAGAAGAGAAACACGCATAGCATCTTCTCAATCATTGAGCTAAATTTTTCTAACCCAGATACAATACAATCAATCCAACTTTCAACCAAGAATTCTCGGTTAAAACCCTCACACGGCATCTTCCCAATCACTGTGCTARATTTTTCTAAACCAGATCAATACAATCAAGCAAAGTTACAACCAAAAACCGTCGATTGAAACTAAATTTTAGAATCATAAAAAACCTCCATACCTCGTCGGCTTCACCGAGCTGATCATCTTCATCCCCATCGCCACTCGCATCATTCCCCTCGTTTTCATCGACACCGTTGGAGTTATTAAGCAATTCGAGAGCTCTCTGGCACTGCTCTAGCACAGCCTGCAAGGTCTTCTTCTTCACACGAACTCGATCATCAGTCGGGCTCTCCAAATTCTTCCTCTTACTAATATCGCCGGTATCCGAGTTTGGATCGGATACCTCAACCTCCATGCTCCGGCGTGAACTGGATCCGTCCGATCTTCAAAGACAATTGTTTCTTCGCTTCAAAGCCATGGCGATGGCCGACAAAAGTTGTGGCTCCTTGTGGTATATAGATTGACAAATGATAATAATGATGGAGCGATGCCTCCTTCTCAGTCTCTCGCCGCAGTTTCGTGTTGTGTTGCGAATTATTGTTGCTTTTGTCCACTCGATATGCTCTTCCTTCGACGTCTCTCTCTGCTGCCGCCGACGCGGATTTTCGGCCTTCCTTT